AAAATTCGATAATTTATATTAAGTATCTAAATGTTGGTTTCAATGTAAAAAAGGTTTTAATAGACTAATAAAATATTTCGGTTAACAGTATTTTGTTTGAAACATTCAAAATTTAGTAGATCTGGTGTCTGAAAAAAACATATTATAAAATCGATATCACGGAGATATTCTTAATATCAATAAGTATATTTTCATGATAACCTTTTTACAAAAAATGCATAATTATTGATATTAAATGTCTTAAAATTACAAATTAAAAAAAAAGATTTGTTATAAGATCTTTTTTTTAGACTAAAAAAAATTTTATGAAGTTACACTTTGATGTTATGTTTAAAATATAGATTAATTTAGCGAAGTAAAAAATTATAGCATCAAATAGTCCAGATATTTTGTTTCTGTATAAAACACGTATTTATTACTATTTTACTGATTTCCAATTGTATGCAATATCATAGGATGACAATTTCAAAAAAAAGAAGTTCTCCCTTTACATACTTGTTATATATCTAAAGTTTTCATAATATAAAATCGAACTTGCTATAAAAGTCTTCTGTTGTTATATGTCATGGTATTTTTTTCTTTCTAAATTTTGTCTCAGATATATTATAAAAATTTTATTTTCTAAATTTCTATAGAATAGTTGTTAAATCGTTAGTCCTAATTCCGATAACATCAGTGCTTGATTAAAGTAGAAAAGAATTACAAATGGCACAAAAAAATATACACAATAAAAAACATTCAGTTCTTATTTTTTTGAATTTTTTTTCAATTGTATATTTATGTATTTGTAAAGCATAAAAAAACATTACCTTGATATATGGTGTATTCCAATTTTTTGATTTTCTTCTGTAGATTTAAATTTAAATTTTTCTATTCGATGAATTCGTAACTCTATCCTCTACCAATTTTATTGTTTAAAAATGTAATTCGAAATTATGTGTACAAATATTGTCTATTATTACATTTATTCTCTATCTTTTTACATTTTTTATTCATACAAATAAATTTTAAATATTTTTTCATGTTTTATATTATTTTAAAAGCTAAACAATATCATAAATTCCTCCATCAAAGTGATAGTATAGAGTTATAAAAATTTTTAAATTATGAATATTTATTAGATTTTATATCTTTATTTCGAAAAAATATACATTGTTTGCTTTGAACGGGACGCTTAAAATTCTTAAAACCACATGACTCGAATTACTTTTTGTGATATTAAGTTGAAATAATCGTGTTAAGATATATTTGAAGAAGTTTTGATATTGCATAATTATTTTAAATAACAATATTATAGTTTACAAGTTTCAAACAAACCAATTTACATGAATACTCTTGAATTAACAACCTTTTCTAATCAATAATTGATTAGTAAATACATCTTAAAACGTCAACATTTTATTGTATCATTAGTTCAATATATATAAATAGTTGTACTTTAGACTTTTGTTTTCTGTATAGAAATAAATTCATGCCTAGTATAATGCGAATATTTGCTTTGCGGTGCAGATTTATTTTTTTTGAAAAAAATACATAAATATTTAAAATTTTCTAAATTTTCTTTTATTAAAAATTTTTGTTTATACATTAATGAAATACAATTACACCTTTGGCGAGCAATAGTGAAACATTCAAATGCCTTAAGTTTATAAAAAAATGTTCTTGAACAGACTATTAAATGCAGAAAAAGGCAAAGCGACATATAAAGTTCACCACTGTTAGTCACGGAAAGAATATTTTAGGACAGGCCGCATCCTTTTTTTCACCAACATAACACATATTAAACTTTTCGTACTAAATAATATACTTCACTATAAAAAAACACACAATAATTTTCCCATAAACCACTTAACCCTTTTTATTTTTAAAAATATATTTTGGTAAAACTTTCAACATATTAAATGATAAAAACTATAAGATTTTTGAATTTCTCTAATGCATAGATCTTTAAATTGTGAAAAATTTATCTAGATTTCAACAAAATCATATACTTTCAATTCAATTAATACATACATTAGGTTGTTGTACCATAAATTGTAATATATTCATTTTTTCCCTGTTAAAAAAAATCCAAGCCTTTAAAAATAAAATTTATGTGTGAAAACAAATGTTTGATGCAATTTCGAAGTTTTGTATTGGTATTTTTTAGTGTTTAAAAGATTGTTTGTATTCAAATATCTATAAAATATGTATTTTTTGTATATATACTATGTCACTATTATAAAATCAAACATTGCATTTTAATTTTTTTATAGCAAATTGTATCATTCATTACATTTTCTTAACAAATAAAATGATTATCTATTAAAACTGTAAATAAAAAATTAATTGAAAAAATTTTGTTTGGTTAATAACTATAACGCAATTAAAACATCAATTTTTTTTGTGACAAATTTACATTGTTTTCATATGATATTGTTTCAAAGATGTATTTTTAGATAATATGTGGGGAACAAATAGAATAAACGAATATTTTGTTATGATATAAATTTAATTTTCAACAAATTAAGACTTTAAAATTTCTAATAAAAAATGTACAATTTTATTACCCATAATAATAAAAAGAATTAAAGAACATTTTTTGGAATTCTTTTGTAAAGTTCATAATAAAATTTTATCTAAAAACAAAGATAAGATACATTATAACAGTAAAATAAATTAAAGAGAATATGTTTTTATTTACAAAAATTTTAAATACCTATAAAAAGAAGCCTATGTAAAGGTTGAAATTTTAAAGATCAGAAGATATTTAAGATTATTAAAAATGATTCTGTACTTTTCGAAAAACCTAATTCTATTTAGATTCAAAATACTTATTTAATTCACAACATTTTGATAATTGTGCAATTCATGCAATAACAAGAAAATACTTTAACGAAAATGTTTGCATTGATAAAATTTTTCCGATGAAAAAAATAAAACGTGTAGGCAGAAAAAGAAGCGTTTTTAGTACCAAAAAATTCAAATATATTTTGAACGTATCAATCAAGTGTTTTATTTTTGACAAATTAAAAATTTTTATTTTTTGCTATAAATCTGTCGCTTTCACATAAGCTGATGCTCCTCTTATCCAGACAGATCTCAATAATTCAGTCCTATATGACCACTGGGTTTAGAAACTTTCAGTATAGAATATGTCAAAAACGAAGGGTTAAGATTATTTTGTTGAGAAAAAGATTGTTTATTTATAAAACTATTGTTGAAATCATCTGTAGCAGGGCTCGATACATTTTCTCTATTCTATTTTTATTGTCATTTTAAGGGTTAAATTTTTCAAATATTTTAAAAGAAAGAAACAAGTAAAAGCTATCTAAATAACGATGTGGAAACAAAAAAATTTTTTAGGTATAACAAAATCGTGATTTCAATATCTTATAAAGAAGGGTCATCATAAATAAAAATTACAATAAAAAATAGAAAGTATTGATAATTTTTTAAAAAATTGATTAATCCTTAGCTTATTTAAAAATTTCTTGGTTTTATCAATTACAAATATACATAGTATAAATTAATAAAATTATAAATTTAAAAAGTTTATTTGTATATCTCAATCTTTGAATGAAAATACGACCAAATATGCTGTTTAGTGCATTTTTTATGTTTTGAAAGGAATTTTATTTTAATTCAATATGCTTATTAAAAATATATTTCCACTTTTCTTTAATTGTAAATATTTGTGTCCATCAGATAATACTTTACAAATAGAAGACTGCCATCAGAGTACAGTAAAAAAAAAAGAAAAATAAAAAAATTGACAAATATATTAAAGTAGGCTTTGTAAAAAGATATAGCGAAAATTAAATATTTTATAAGCTAACTATTTTAATCTATGATGCTATTCTAAATAAAATAAATGAATTTTTTATTCTGATTCCATACTGCGACTGTTTTTCTTGTAATCAAAATAAGATGACAATTTTATATCTTCTATTTGGCAATGTAAAATTTTTTGACTAGTTAAGGCAGAATTTTATAAATTAATTTCAAAAATATTTTTTTAAAACGAATGTAAACTAAATCAATTCGGTTTTTTTCTTAAATAGAATTCAATTGTTTATATAATAAGATTATATTTTATGTCATCGTTCTTTTTTAAGTACACCAAACAAAAATAATTTTTGAAGTACTTGGAATTAATTTGAATTGTAATTTTCTTATTAAAATTACATTTTCAGACCAAAAAAATCACAACGATGTAACTTTGTATGAAAATTTTCGAATTTATAAATTAATTTCTATTGATGTATAATTTTTCAATCTACACACATATCCCCTATAATCAAATTAATTTTCATAAAAAATGATTCTCTGTGCCAATTGTCATAATCTCTTAATTCTTGAGAATAATGGCTTAAGAAACACGTTGAATTGCAAAGCCTGTCCGTACGTCTACGACCTAACAAAGAAGATAGTAAAAACATATAAAAATCAAACTAAAACACCGGATAAATTGGTTTACGGTGGAGAGAATGAGTTAAAATATGCAGCAAAATGCACAAAAAAAATGTGTGAAATGCAACTGCGAAATTGCAATGTATATTGAAATGCAAACACGTAGTGCTGATGAGCCGATGACAATTTTTTATCAATGTGTAGAGTGTAGAACAACATGGAAAGAATAGTTGAATTTCATAAATTAAAGGAATTAAAACACGATAAAAATATTTTTTACGCACCAATTTAAAGTTTTTAATATTTGTTGATATTTACATTTTTTATAGCATTTAAACAATTTTCTTGTATTTCCATCGATTTTTATGTAATCTCTATTATATTGACCAATAAATAAAATTTAAAAGTAGATGTAGTATGTTGATAATTTTAAACACACAAATAAACATATCTCATTTTTAAACAAAATTCAATGATCTGTTAATTGTCTATTCTTTATACCCATTCACTAAAATTTTTCTAATATTCTGCAATTTATTTTTATCTGTTTGCTTTTTTGTACTGTTGTTTTTAAAAAACATAGTTATATGCCATATAATATTTGGATATCTTCCTTAGTATAGTGGTTAGTATATCAGCCTGTCACGTTGGTGGCCCGAGTTCGATTCTCGGAGGAAGAGTTTTTTGCTTTTTTAAATTTTGTGTATAAAAGTTTAAGAAATATAAATTAGAAAGGATTATAATGTCATTAATTATTATATTTCAAGATAAATAATTTTCTATCATTAGGATTAAAACCATATTTTCAATAGAGTTGCATATTTTTAGCTTAAAAAAACATATAATGAATGTGCTTTTGTAGCAGTATTAAGGATTTAGAGGAATTTTATTAAAATAATTATTTTAGTATTATTAAGCTGAAATACAAAGAAACTTACATATTTACATTTTTGCTGATAAATTGTTTAAATACAAGCATGCGATATTTATGTTAATAAATAAATCATATAATCCATTAGGTTTATTTTATAGCAAGCCCCTAGATTTTCCAGTACACCAATTATTCAAAAAAATTCTCGGTCGTAATTACTTGATTCCTTTTATGTATATATTTGCCGATATGCACATTTTGTTTGAAAATAAATATTAATTTTGAAAGAAAAAACACTTAAAATATTAAAAAAAAATAATTTCGTCCCTGATTGTCTACGAAGATATCTTATGGATTCATTTTTTTTACTTATATAGTATCTAAAAGAAATTCCCTGGTTATTTAATTTCAATACCGTTGTAAACTATTATTGCTTGTTTTAAAATTCAATCAGAACCAAAAGTATGGTTTTTTGCATAGTATGAATTATAATATTGATAATAGAAATGTAATTTCATTTTCAGTATTATGTAATACCCTTTCGAAATATTTATATATGTGAAATGACGCAAATTTCATTTAAATATGTACTTTATTGGATCTTAATTAATAACTTATCTTACAAAAAACGCGATAGAATTAGATTAAAATTATTTTTATGCAAATCACAAATATTATTTTTCAAAATTAAAACATTTTATAAAATTGTTTAGAAGCATTATCTTTAGAAAATAAAAGGCGCAATTGACTATGTTTCCAATTAATGATGTTGGTTAAAATCTGTCAAACAGTATGATTTTTAATATTTATCTTTAGAAACAATGAAATAATGATTTAAATTATTTAAAAGACTTGTATTTTTCTGTTTTTTATATTTGAAATATTTTTTTTCATGCTAAATACTATACATGATGCGTATAATATAGTTTTTCATAGAATCACAAATTTTTGCTGTTTTTTTACTTTTCTTTATTTGATAAAATTTTAAAAATTTAAATCTTTATAATTAACTTGACAAAACTATATCATAGAAATTTAAAAATTACATGTTGGAAAGTTTGCAATCGCTATGATTTTCTCAAATTTATTCAAATTACCATGTGATATTCAATAGACACAAACAATTTAAATTTATTTAATTAGTAAAATATTAGCTTAAAACCATAATTTGGTTGTTAATTATGTGTAATTATAAATATAAAATATAATAATGTAAAGAATTTTAGCTATTTTATCATAAAAAAGATTTATAATATCCAATTAATATCAAATTTTTAAGCGAACAATTTCGGCTTCCGACGAATTTTAATAAATTATAATTTTTATTCTTATTAGAATATGATTTAATTCGTTTTTTATTTTATTAAATAAAATGTTGTGTTATAACTAAATCGGATTTTTGTAACTTTCAAGGATTGCTTTAACGCCGATAAAAATTTTAAAGCAATTAATTTCTTGGTAAAGCTTAAAAAAACCGAATAAATATTTGAATCGAGTTTTGTATATTAAAACATCTGGAACGCCTTTAATTATTGATGATATATCAAAAACTATACACAAAAGTTTTTAACATAATTTCTTTAACAAAACAATAACAATGCTAAATTTCATAATTGTCTTAAAGTTAGATGAAAAAAAACTAAATAATTTTTGATAGGTGTTTTGATTATCAATCTGTAACATAATTTTAATGTATTTTTCTGTTGTAAACATTTTTTGCAATGAGTATGTAGTGTTTATTGTGTATTATTGTCTAAATTAATGATCAAAAATACGTTTGTCATGTAATGATTGTTTTTACAAAATAAATCGTGTTTCAAAAATTAATTACTTATTACAATATTTCTTAAAAAGAAACATTTTTGTTTTTTGATTTGGTTTTATATCTGCAGAAGATTATCATTTTAAGAGGTTAAAGTATAATTTTTGTTTTCTGTTAATGATGTGTAATAGCTTTGACAAGAGTTATTTTTCTAATTTTCTTAAAAATAACCTATTAATTTAATAAAAAAACGCAGATATAGGTCAAAATATAATTGGGATCTTAAAAGATAAAATCAAAATGACTTAATATTGAAAGAAGAGAATGCGTAAGGAGAGAATTAAAAAAATAAAATTTTTTATTCTTTTCTTTTATCTTCATTTATTGATTTCTATTTGCGAAATGCATCATCTGTTTAGCTGTTGCTCAAGTTGGACAATAATAACTCTTTACCCTTTTTATTTTTTGTTCGATACGAATTATTTTATCACAAAATAGAAACTTCATGTTTTAGGAATTTTGTATTTTATAAGATTAATGTTTACAGCTGCATTTTCTCTGATTATTAAGGACTAAGATTGCTATGTTTCATTTCTTTTGAACACTAAAAACATAGTCTTTAGAACACATATTTTAATGGACGATTTTAGCACTAAATAGTTATTTAAGGTTGATAGACATTTTACATAAGAAAAAAAGACACGGTATATTATTTTCTGTTTTAAATTACCGATTTCAATTACAAACAACAACTAAGTCGGTCAAATATAAACATTCAACATAAAAAAATGTTATTTAATTGCAAGTAACAAACCATTTTTGTTGTTTTTAGTACAGAAATATAAGTTTTTTGGTTTTAATTTAGATAATAAATTGAAAGATAGTGTATGTTTTGATATCAATATTATATTTAATGGGTATTTTTTGAGCTAACAAATACAGGTGTTTTTTCGCACCAAACGATTTATTTTTTTTATTATGTTATATATATAATGCTATTTTGATTTTTACAATAAGATCAAATTATAACGTTTTGCAAATATTATTGTTTTTTCTTACCTTAAAAAATTTTAGGAATATTTTATAATTACTTCGAGGAAAATGAAAATAAATATTTATCATCTTGCATCGCAATTGTAGTAGTAGTTATTTAAAACAAAAATCAAACTATGAAATCGTTAACAATTATTATTCTATATATTTTATCTCTAAAGGGCAACATTTTATGACGAATCATAATTTTAAGAGCTAAATACATGCATAAGAATCAATTTCAATATATAAACAATTTAAAATTGTATTTTATTATTCCATACACTTCATAAATATTTAAAGAATTTTTTTTATCATCACTTTGTTCTTTAATTTAAATTTTAAAATCTACAAAAAATAAAAAAATTAATAAAAGAACTAAATAATTCAAAAGTTTTTGATTTAAATATTTTTAAACCTACTATATTGCCTAGATATATAAATTAAAACTTACATAAATAAATAAATAAACAGCGCTGTTTAAGCATAAAAAAAATAGTACAAGGCAAACATCGTTTTTTATGATTCAATAATCCATTTAATATAAATGCAAATATATCTGACATTATATTAATTCAATTTTAAAATTTATAAAAAGTTGAATAATATAGTTTTTTTTATATTTTTTTTACGCCATTTTCTTTGTGTATATGACCCAAAAACAATCACATAAACAGTAATATTTTTAATTTATGTCTAAAATAATTAGTGTGTGCCCTGTAACTAAAGTAATTGATGACGAGATTTTTTTATTAATTTCTAACAAAGGATATAAAATTGTATGTTTATGATTTTTTACTAATTTTTTTTTGAATTTTTTGTTCTTAATTATGATATTAGTTATAATTTTTTCATTTTTCAATAGCAATAAATGTTTTTTTAATTATATAGAGTAAATTTATATAGAACATTAAAAGAATATTGTTAATACATTTATCTGATTCTCATTTTTTTCTGTGATTTTTAATCAAAAAAATTGCACAAAATTGATTTATAATTTCTTTTATAACATATTGATCATGTGGTAACTTAGATTTATATCTTTCCTAAATTCGTTTTTCTATATTGCACATAAAAAAGAAAAATTCACATAAATATCCTAGAATTAAAAATTTTTATGGTGTTCTTACAATTTAAAATTTTATTAAAAAACAACAATTTCATTGATATTTCAAATAGGCAATGAGTGATGAAAAAATATTAATACATATTTTATCATATTTTAGACTATAGCAATTAAATAAAAATTTCATAAATTCAAGCCAATAACAGTAAAAATTTAAATTTCAAAACTTTATTGATGTCAATTTTTTATGTTAAAAATTTAGTTTGCGGCGAAAAAATTACATCATTTTTTTTAAAAAAATATAACATGCATGAATTTCTTTCTCCTAAATAAATCATGTATAAATTTAGTTTTTTGTAGTTATATTGGTTCCTTAATATCATTCTTGTTATTTAAAAAAAATTAGGGATTTTATTTGAAAACGATACTATATAACATATTCTTTTAACATTTGTTAGATAATTTGTACTTTAATGCTTGTTGAAAGGTTAGTTGGTTGTACTTTTGATTTTTTTTATATAATTTCTTGCCATTCTTTATAATTTCAAACTATTTTTATACTTGTGCTGCTCCTTTTTATACTTTACCTGCACTCATATTTTCTTTTTCTGAAAAAATTATTGCCCAATGAAATTTTTGATTGATCAACATGATGAATTCAACACCAAATAAACTTGAAAAATTTGAAAAATAAAGGATTATTGTCAATATAACAAAAACTAATTATAAATAAAATAATAAAAAGTTAGCGTAAATTTTATTTTTTTAAACGATGTAATAAAACAAGCACACTTTAGGAAATTATATTAATTTATTTTAGATGCATTTAGAGTAAATAATTTTAAAAATATATTGATAAAAAATATGACAGATTTAATTAGCAAGCAAAGAATGCTAACAGTTTCGGGTTACTTTTCTAAAATTTCAATATTAAATAAACCAAAGATTG